TGTGTATGTAAACATAGGAGTTCAAGATGGCGATATGTGTGTGACGTTTAATTCTACCACTGCTGTGGGCCTGGGAGAACAGTAAAGTTATTTTTAATGTGTACATACAAACTGACAATGAAAAAATAAACCAAAACTTGAATCTCAAATATTACCACTGACAAATAATCACCTACACATTAAAATTCCTTAAACCAAATTAATTAACCATATGCAAAAATGTCATACATGGAAAACAGAAGGAGGCAAAAAAATTAAAAGAGGAACTCTATGAAAGAGAAACGGAGGCTGCTGAGTGAATAGAGCAGCTGTTTCAGTGTGGACGACAGCCAAAGAAGCACAGTTGGGCCAGCAGGGATGCCGCGCTGAGACTTGTAGTGGAGTTTTTATAGAAGAGCACGTACACGCGCACTTCCTCACTCAGCAAACATGGGGATAAATCAGCATATGACTCCTGGCCTGCTTGTTGCAACAGGTGGACTACTGTTGCAACACACACACACACATACACACACTCACACAACACTGGCTAGCAGCTGCTGGGCGACTAGAGAAGCTCTTTCTTGTTGGCAAAGCGATCTACCCTGTGTGCTTGAATGGCAACGCTCACTGTGTGTGTGTGTGTGTGTGTGTGTGTGTGTGTGTGTGTGTGTGTGTGTGTGTGTGTGTGTGTGTGTGTGTGTGTGTGTGTGTGTGTGTGTGTGTGTGTGTGTGTGTGTGTGTGTGTGTGTGTGTGTGTGTGTGTGTGTGTGTGTGTGTGTGTGTGTGTGTGTGTGTGTGTGTGTGTGTGTGTGTGTGTGTGTGTGTGTGTGTGTGTGTGTGTGTGTGTGTGTGTGTGTGTGTGTGTGTGGACCATCCTGCTCTTTGTCCTTGCAGCATTTCTTATCAACCCTCATTCACTGTGGAGTGGATTAAAAGAGTTGAATTTCACCAGACCCTAAACAAGTTTGCCACAGGGGGTTCTGTCCAGCATCTGGCAACCCACCTAACACTATCCGCCTTTTCTTTACCCCCACTTCACTCAGCTCAAGGGGAGGTTGGTAGTTGCAGTAGGGAATAATGTGAGGAGGGTGTGTGTTGAGAAAGATAAAAGAACAAAGTGAGGAGATAACGGCAACAGGAGAGCCGCCGGCAAGATGATTATTTAATAGAGCACCTAAGGGAGACTTCTGGCTGTGCATGTGCCATGTGGGTATGCCAGGTGACACTCGCCACCACCTGCCCGCTTTTGTGCCCAAAATACAAAAGACTTCCCCTCTGACACACAGAAACACACAGCGAAACCTGAGGCATTGATTAACATTCACTGATGTTTTCAAAAGAAGCACACTGACAAATTGACCCACTGTCTGACCGTGTAAACACACATGCCAAGCAGAGTTCTGGGATTACTTGTGTGCCCAGATGAAAACAAATAGGAAAACAAACATTGGCACACTAAATGGCTGCTGGTCCTGGAGTGTTTAAAAGCCTTAAGTAAGGGTCTTTGTTTTTACTTTGCCTTTATGTGTTTTGTCAGATTTATAAATAAGCAAAGCAAATTAAGCATCCTCGTCAACATTTGTCTTGGGGCGGCAGTAGCTTAGGGGGGCTGGTGACTAGAGAGGTGCCAGTTTACTTCCTTCCACCTGCCCTAAAGCAAGGCACCAAACCCCCAACTGCTTATGCACTCTTTTGTGTGCAGCCTCTCACTCTGGCTGTCGTCCTCTAGAGATGAATCAGTACAGTCAGCCTATGATCCAATAGGTACCTCCGTTTTTTACAACCCAAGGTCAGCCAGCTTACTTCATTCTGCATTTTTCAGGACATCTTTTTCTCAATTCTCCATCAGATTCAGAGGACCTCATTGTTGGAACAATTTACCCAACCCTTTATTGTTTTTACTTGGACTACATTAATAATATGTCTCTGTGTTACATGTTTCTCTTTAGGAGGGCCACTCGACAAGCCCCTCTGGGTTTATTTGGCTCCTCCAGCACATTTCTTTCAAAATGTATATTTTGTTAATTAACTAATCATTATGTACTGTCTGTTTTTTCATTGTTCTATTATGTTTGTTTTTTTTGTTTTTCTTTTTAAGTGCATTAAAATAAATGAAAAAATAAATGAATTAAATGTTAAGAAACAACAGTTTTTTTTAAATTCCAAAACTATTTCTTTATTTTACTTATAAGCAAAACAACTTTTCCATTTATACACAGTCGTGGTGTTTGGTGCAATTAAGTAGTGCCATGTCGACCCGCTGTACAAATAGGAAGATATTTCTGTATTTCACACAGAATCTGACCGTTAAGTGTTGATATTTCATCGCGCAGTAGTCTGTTTCAAATGCTGCTTCGTCTTTTCTCCGTTCACTCTCACCTCTTCTGCATCATGCAGGTTAACTGCTGTGTCTGCATGTGTAAAAAAGCAGTAGCTTCATGTTCGTAATGTTACAGCCTGCTGCAGCATGTTGCTGTAAACTTAGCCAAACTCTGCAAATGTTTCCATTTGAGTCACTTTCTCAACGCTGAAACTGAAATGTCCTCACACCACTGATTTGAGAGACAGCGGTGCTTTCTCATACTGCTGCCTCTCCTCACCACTCATCATCTCATCTCATCTCCCACTCATCATGTGAAATCTTACACCAGTATTGTCGGCTTCCCGCAACTTTAGTGCATAGTGATAGGATACTAAGTCGGGGGGGGGGGTTCCTTATCCCAGCATGTGGACTGACAGACAAACCAACAGAGCCGATTCCAAGAGAAATACAACGCATGGATGCTAGTTGTATGCAAAATCAAGACTACTGCAATTCTCTAGCAGGTATTGTACCGTGGATGCCGGACCAAACGTTTCAATATTATATCGAGAATTGTTGCATCCCTATCGTCCACACTGAGCCTCAAACTCCTGTACATGTGTGAAGCATCATCGTCTCAACAACAGTGTTAAATTGAACTTCCCCTTTGAGGGATCAATAAAAAAAAAAGGATATCAAAGCTTGTCTGTTTAAGAAAAAGAATGAAACTGTCTTATTGTGAAGGGCCTGATGGTATAATAAAATCAAATTTAGCCCATGAGGAGTTGAAATGCGGCTTGTGCCAAGGACCAAGCCAAAGTTAAAGTTTATTGCTGTCAGGCGAGGCTGTGTGAACGTGCTCATTGTTTCCACACACTTTATTCCTCTGGCAGAGTCAATACAGTTTGTTGTACTGATGATAAGATGATACAGTCACCACGCCTTGTTCCTCTGTAATAATGAAGTCCCAGACAGTTCCCAACAGACTTAAGTAATTCTAGTCTACATTGTGTCCGCTCCCGCCAACTCCACAGCCCTGTCTGTATGTGCGAAGGATTAAGACATAATTGAGTTGACCAGCTTTGGCTTGCAGGTTAATTAGATATATTTGCATACCTTTTTGTACATCACACATTTGTGTGTAATGAAAAACATGATATGAACATATTCTGCTTTGTGCCATTTTTAAATATTTAGCTATACAAGCAGTTTGGATTGTACAGACATTCACTGCCCTCAGAAGAGATCCCTGATTCTTTTTTTTAAGTCACTGACTATTTCCTCCAGTGCTCATCAGGTCAAAAGTTTAATTTCTGACACTATGATTAGTGCTAAAAAGGTGCGATTGCTAACATACTAAACTAAGATAGAAAACATTGTCAACATAATGTCTGCTTAACATTAGCGTAAAGCCATATTTTCTATGTTAGTGTGCTGTCATTAGCTTTTAGCTCAGAGCACTGAAGTGATCATCTTCCTGAAGACTATGAAAATCATCCACATATCCGCCGGATTCAAAAGTTTCCCTAATTTTACCAGGACTAAGTTCCTCATATAACCCCACTTTAAAAATCCTAACTATTCCTGTAATGCAAAAATATAAATCCATGGATAAGCTGCTTAAGTCACGTTTAACACGTTGCTTGTTTTCTTGAAATAATGTTTTTTTGTTTTTGCTTGACCGCTTCAGTTTCCAGTATTTTCTGCTCATATATGTTGTGTTTTGTAGTTTTTTTAGTTAATGTAGGTGCTGCGTTCATTTAGTTTAACTATCTTATGTGCAGTTGGAATTGCTTTAGTTCACTTTTGATTTGCACACACCTTTAATTCTTGTTCTTGTGTTTTTGAATCAATTCAGTGGAAGTGGTCCTTGATGCAGATGGGCAGACAATGTAGACAGATGCTTCCACAGACAGACAGACAGATACACAGACCGACAAGCAGGGCAGGGACTGGTGCTGCTGTTTAGTGCTGAGGCCTGGCCTGGAGACTGCTGACTGATGCAAAATAGAAACGCGGGGGTGGAAAAGTTACAGGGAGGGAGAGAGAGAGGGAGTGAGTGAAAGCTGAAGCGAGACTGCTGGCTAGAGCGAGGGAGAGAAAGAGACGGCGCAGAAAAGTGGGAGGATGAAGGGAGAGAGGGAGAGACATTATCGAGCCAGTGTGAGTCAGCAGGTTGACAGAGCTCCAGGGTGCGGCTCCAGCACATCACTGCTACCTTTTTAAAAATATATTTATATATATATTCTGAACGGGATCCATTGGAAAGTCTGCAATCGTCTGATTAAAAATGAATTATTGTAGAGCCTGTTAGTTTCTTTTAAGATGTCAAAAAAAAAAACAGCATCATGGTTATGAAGTGAAAATGTCACACGCTACATAGAATCAGCGACTTGCATCAATGTCGACCTCTTTCATCTGGTGGATAATGCAGCTCATTTGATGACTTAAGGAGGCTTACATTTATCAGTATAGGCCTGCTGGTCGTTCGTGAGAAAATACAAACTCAAACACACTGTAAAGAAAAACTGTAAGCTTTACTGCATGTGCAATAAAAAAAAAAAAAAAACATGGAAACACTGAACAAAATTAATGGCTCTTAAAAGCCTTTATTGCATTTTTTGTAGTGGCCTTTGTTGGCCTTGTAAAATGCATAATGTGTAATAACTGTGCATTTGATCTGTGTGTGTGTGTGTGTGTGTGTGTGTGTGTGCAGGACCGGGAGACAACGTACCCGTGGTGTATGGCCTGGATGTGACGGACGTGTCGCGGTGGGAGGAGACAGTCCTGAACCCTGCACTGCAGATACTGGACAGCCTCAGTAAGGTGGGGCCTCAGTGGTCTGATGGTCTGAACCAGCTGCCTCCAGTCAGACCTTCCATCCACTGTTTGGATACAACCAATTGCATACTTTCTTATTAATACCTTTTGTTCCTCTACTCTTTTATTTTTTATTTTTGGTGCTCCTATAATTTTATTTTCCTTAACTTGCCTCTTATTTAACATTTCTTCCTTTTTCCTGCATCCTGATTATATCCCCTCCTTGTTTCATTTACTCTTTAAAGTTTCCTTCCAGTGTTTATTTCCATTTATCACTCTCTTCCTTCTCTATTTTGTCTCTTTCATTTTGTTTTCTATTCTATCTCTGTCCTGATTTTTCCCGCCTCATCCTCCTGGAATTCTGTTATTCTCAAAACTATTTTTGTTTTTTCATTCACTCATCTCACATGACTCTGGCCTTGCTTCGCTTTGTTTGCGTATCATAGACAATATCAACAGACAATCAACAGACAATATTCAATAGATGTTCTCTGTCTCAATTACCACTTATGAGTTCCTGTTGATTTCCTGACCACAAGTAGCAGCAAGTTTGTTTTTTTACAAATGATATGAAGTGTTTGTTATTAAAAAGTTCATTACAGACAGGTGCAAACAAACACTTATGCATCAATGAAGGCAGTGATGAAGAAAATAGCTAGCTATCAAATGTGACTTAAAACAATGCATTCATTAAAGCACCCTCAAGAAAAAAAATCATCAAAGATTTGTCTGATTTTAAGAGTAAAGACAATATTTTCTTATCTGAAAGCTGAATTTATGTTATCCTTAAACAGAAAATCTATGCAGGGAATCGTTCTGACTTTATTACCAAATCGTGAAGTAAAACAATTTGTCTTCATTAAATCAGGGTGAGGAGCCAGCTGTTGCACCAATCAGAGTCCAGGGGGCGGAGCAGAGAAACAAACGGAGCCGCCATTCATGTGACCTGTGTGACAAAGTGATCATCGGTGATTTGGAGTGGACAGGTGGGTCGGTCACTACATGAAAACATGATCATCAATCACAATCACGTGCACTTAGTTCGATGTAGTAATGCCCAAAAGAGTGATGCAAAGCCTTGTAAAGAAATGTAAGAATATGATCCCTGAGATGAAACAGTTTATTCATTTTATTTTTTTTTACCTGCAGCTCACCTGAAGTCAAAAAAGCATCACTATCATGTAAGGAAGAAGAGGAAGTCTGAACCACCTTCTGACCAATCCCAGGTTACCACTGCACTTCCTGACTCTGCTGCACAGATCTCAGAGAGTCGCTCAAAAGTCTCTAATGCCGCCGTCGCCCCCTCCCAGGAGTCGTCCAAGGACATCAGGACATCACAGCAGGAAGTACCTGTGACTTTGTAAGAGTTGTTCAGACTCTGAGCTACATTCATCTTCATGTTGTTATCAACTGGATGTTTTCTTATAGGGCTGCTTTTTTTGTATTTGTCCTTTATTCTGGTGTTCAGTCCTTTTTATTGTAAAAAATGGCTTCCCATTGAAGTGAATGAAGACCTGTTAAGCCCTGTAGAGGAATTCAATAATGTTGATCCTCGCTGAATGCAAAGAACTCCAATTCCAAGGGACTTTTCAAAGTATTAGAATAATCTTTCATTTAATTTGTACTTGTTCAAGAGTATGGATCCTTGAACTTGTACAGCAGAGATGATGACGATCATGGCAATTCAACATCATGGACTGACAAAGAAAAACGTCAACATTTTTATGGCGTGTGCAGCCAAGGACGGATTTTACCTTCTATATTTTTTTCTAACTTTGCTGATTGTGCCTTAAATAGATATTTCATACTGTTGCTTCCAACTACATGTCTGACATATTGAGTGTTTTAAGTTGAAGTTTTTTTTCTTTGTCTGTAACCCGACCATCATGCACTTTATGCATCCCATTGGTTCTAAAAATGTTCAATAAACCAAAAGGACTAAACGTTTCTCAGGTCCCACATATTAAGATTTGAGAGGTTTTCACATGACACAGGTTCCCTTTATCTCAGTCAGATGTCATGGCATGCTTACACAGCACATGCATTGTACTCTGTTTGCCTCCTGCCACCTTGTTTAACGGTCCTTAAATACGTTTTTTTTTTTTTAGCTCTTTGTTTGATAATGACAAGTACCTGATTTATGCCGTTGTCTTTCAGTGGAGCTTAGCTGAGCTCATTTCTGCTCTGACAGAGTTATAAACCACAGGCTGAGGCTTTGAGGAGAATGTGTGTTTTCACTGAAGTGATTGCAGGCCTTTGTTTATCCAGCAGTGTTGTACCCCTTTCAAACCAAGGTGTGCCTGCCTGCTGTAAAACCCCTTACACAATACCTGGCACCACTCCAAAGGTTCTCTTCTGGCGCTCCCATTCCCTCACCTCACCTGCCACTTTTTCTTTTCAAAAGAACGACTCCCCCATACCCCCCTGTAACACTCCATCATCTCTCTCTTCACGCCGTCAGTATGAGGCGCAAGACGTATGCGTTCAACACAAGTTCAGTTCACAGGCTCCCAGTGTTTGACCTCATCCACATGACTAAAAATATGTCCAGCCATATAATAGCTGGAAATGTGTTGGTGTGTGTGTGTGTGTGTGTGTGAGAGACTGTGTCCCACATTCTCTCTTTTCAAACTGGGTCAGGCCTCAAGCTTACTTGAGGCTTACCATACAATGTGAGTGATATCAGAGGTCACTGTTCAACTGGTGTTTGGTTTTTTTATAAACCTTCTGTTTAGGATGCTTTGTTTTTCTTACCTTCTGTTATACATTTTTAATCAGACTTGCAGAAGTGCTCCCCCCCCCCCCCCCCCCGGTGATTTTTTTAAATCATGTTTATCATCTCAGTAATTACAAAAAGAAACAATTAAACTGTGATAAACTTTATCTTACGAGACTTAATGTGTGATATGTGCTTATCTCGAGCTCCTAACCAATTCTTGCCCGGCATCCCCAGGCGCTGCTGAATAACTCCTGCATATAAAGGCAAAAAGTTGTGCAATTCAATGATATAAGGCTTCAGCCCCTTGAACCACAAATCCACATACTCTTTGGAAGTGGAGAACTAGGCCAGCGTCCGCTGTCACAAGGCTAATTAGTTATTTACACACCGCGACGCCGTGGATCATCTATGTACACACACTTGCATGCACTGGGTGAACTCATTAGCTGCAGACAGTGAGGACAAAGAAATAAACAAACACAAAACAAACCAGCATTGAAATAAATAAGCTGCTACTATGGCCTCAGTATGTGTTGTAAAAGTTGAACTGTATCTGTTCTAAATGTGTGCTTAGTGCTAAGCTGTATCAGTCGGGGAGCTGAATAATAATTCGCCCATTCTGAGTGCCTAATTTCTGTCTCTCCCTCGCTCAGTTCAGTCCTGCCCTATAGCAATGCAGTAGCTTTACACGTTCACAGAGCACACACTGTGCTATACATGAGGCCCTCTGTGGGGGAACTCCAGGCTTGCTTATGTAACACATGCTGCAGCCTATACATGCATGTTAGCGTTAGAGTTTAGGGCCCTGTCATTGGCTTTGCTGCATGTACTGCTTATATGCTGAAAAACATGGAAAATGTATCACTAATCCGTGGCACACTGAAGATTACTTTACTGTAACTTTACAAGCGTTTAGCCTGTAGCTTCCTCAGGTTAGAACGGCTGAAAATCACGTTTTGACTGGATTTTCGTTTTCCTCTTCATTACTTTGACACAGACTTTTGAAAACCAGCATGTCAATAGATGGATATGGTAATGCCATGAGCATGATTAAGAGTCACAAGGATTAGTCAAAAGGATATTGGTAATCACTCTTTTTTTGTTCTTTTTTTTTTTGCCAAACGCTAGCGGATTTTTTAACTTCCAATGTTAGCTGTTAGCTTTCCATGAAGATTTAGTGTTAATTAACAGCGCTCTTCAGAACCCAGAATTCAAATGTTTAATTATAGTGAAATAGATTAGAAGATATAACTACCACTCTCATATTTGAGATGATATTAATGTAGCCAGAGCTAGCTTAGCCGATAAAGTGAAAAACTGCTAACCTGATTCATTCAAAATGTTACAAAAACTGCCCCCCGACACTTGAAATTTACGTGTGTGTTTATCTGTGCAAAAACTAAGGTCCATAAAAGTTACATGATAATGAGGCTACAGAAAGACGATCTATCTGCCCCCCCTCCCTTCCCAGTTTTCACTGTAAGATAATTAGCCTCATACCGTATCGTGTAAAGATCTGGGATTACCATCAATCGTGTCATTGTCTTCGCTCAATAAAATAGTTAATTGTGTCATCAAAATATCCAAATATTGACCTTTACTAATGCAACACAAGTCAAACTCTGCTTGTTTTTCTCCCTTCAGAATTTCCCCAATTAGCATGCTAATGGTGCTAAATAGACAATGATGTCCCCCCACTTCAGCGCTCTGCTGTAGTAGTGTGTCATCCAGTGACTGTGCGTCTAGGTAATTTGAAGTCCACTTAATCCTAATCTCTAATCCCATTCAACTAAACATTCTCTGCCATCTGGCCCTGGCGAGACTAGAAAACACACTTGCACGCACCTACACACACACAGACAGACAGACATGCAAGCAAACAGCTAATCAGATAGAGCAAAAGCTGTAGTCAGAGACACTGTTGACTTGACTACGAGGCTGAACCTTTTATTGAGAAAGGTTCGTTCGTCTAATGTGGAGTGAAAGCATGTTTGGCGATAATAACAGAAGGACACATTGTTGGCGATAGCAGAATACTAGACAACACAAAGTGCTGTTATCTCATAATAGAGTATTTTTGGAATGTGAAGGACTTCGTTAAGGATGTGAAACTTTTTCTGTCTCTGTAGGCGGGCCAGTGAAGAGATGCAAAAGGTCAACTATCAGTCTGCCAGCTGTTGTGTGTGTGATGTGTTGTTGTTGTTTTTTTCAACTTTATCAAGATTACAAAGTATACAGTGTTCTTATTTGCCCTCTTTCATTATTTTCTCATTTTCAGCGTTTTAAAGAATGTCTCTGTGTGGGTCTGTGCATGCACGCTTCCTCTGCGCAGGGTCAATGTTTTGATGTCTGAGAACAAGACAAAGGCAATTCAAAACTTAAGTTGTTGCGTAACCATGTGAGAAACACAACACTGTCAGGTGTGACTCAATCACGTAGGAAAGCCTTGTGTATTTCTGTGTGCGCACATGTGATAGGTCTGCCTTTTTAGCACGTTTCACAGCACAGCAACGCAACCCCTGTAGTTCCTGTTTGTGGTTTTCTTAACAAAACCGTGAAAGCTGTGTATGGTTTGCGATATACTTTGGATTACACACACACACACACTAACAAATGACAATAGCTGCACATAGAGGGATCAGTGTTTAGCATCCCCATCCAGCCCAGAAACAATGTTTTATTACGTTTCAATGAGATCTAATGCATGCATCCAGAGCCAAGTGCAGACCATCATTTATTGATGTGTGTGAGTGAGTGTGTGTGCCTATAGGGATGAGTGAGGTTCATTGAGTTTATGCAGCTCCCTGTCTCGCTTTTTGTCATGCTGTCTGGCTCCCGTAGTGGCCGCTGTATGCAAAAAAGCGACAGAAGGGCCAGAAGAGGACGAGACGTGATTAGATATGAAAAGCCTTTAAGGAAAGTGTCGTACAGTAGATGCAGTGTATGCATTGCTTCATATGGTTACTCTCCCTCTCTCTGTCTCTCTGCCTCTCTCTCTCTCCCTCGCTGCATATTTCCTGGCTGTTATGTAATGCGGGGGCCGCTCGGTACTTTTTTCCCCTTCTTCGTCTACCCTCCCCAATCCAGAGCATGACATGCCTTCCTGTTTTTCCAGCAACCCAGTGAACTCTTTTCCCAGGGCAACACTTGGGAGGGCACGCACTCACCCACAACACACACACACACACACACACACACAAACACAAAACCTTGTCACACTTTGTAAGTAATGTGTTTACATGGAACAAAGCTTACCCTTGATGCATTGTGTCTCGTGGGCTATATAAATGTCATTGTCTCACTTCACACACTCTGACAGTTTAAAAGCTTGGTATGTGTGTATTATTATCTCATCTGCTCTCATATCAAAATACCCACCCCATACCATCCTCCTGTCCATTTCATCTCATTTATCTGTCCGTCCAGTTGTTTTCACCTTTGCTCTCAGGCAGGAAATGGGAGTGCCAGCCTGTAAAAGACCAACAATGTGTGTTTGTGTGTGTGTGTGTGTGTGTGTGTGTGTGTGTGTGTGTGTGTGCACAGGGAGCACTGTAGTTACTCTCTGCAGTGTACTGTATGTGAGACAAAGAGGGTGTGTGTGTGTGTGTGTGTGTGTGTCTGTGTCTGGATTTCTCCATTGTCAGTGGCTTAATAGCTAGAGCCGGCTTTTTCCCGCCAGTGCGGTGTTTTGTGGGCGGTGTTTTGGCTGAGCTTAGCAGCAACAAAGAGCCAGAGCTTCCCGCCCGATATGCTAATAGGCTGAGAGTGGGCGGGGCAGGTTGCCTCCCCTACTGCAGTACTTAACGCTATCACTGCCAGGGTGCTGTGCAGTGCAGACAGTCGGTGTGTTTCTCTTCATTCTTCGGAACAATGGGGAAAGACAGATGACGGATAATAATTAGATTTAGAGCTCAAGTTTTTATTTAGTTTGGTTAAGATTGAATGTGAATATGGCACTATCTTTGCTGCTACACTTTTCATTTCACATTTTTAATGTTGTTTGCTACTTTTGAGTCATTATGCAAAAATTAGGCCTTTAATTAACTGTATCCATGGTACATTATACTGCTAGGGTGCATTGGATCAAAAATTGATACAGGAGCCCCTTGACCTCCATTTATCCTTTTTATTTTAGTTGGTGTTTGCCTATAGGCTACTGACAGCCCCAGATGTACATTAATGAATTTATTTTTTCCCCCATGTTATCTTAGCCTATTATTGAAACAAAT